GAGAAGCTCAGCAGGAACCTGCTCCCTCACACTGCTTCACCTCTAAAGACATCATTGCCCTGGCGGCCCCACTGCTGTCTAACTCCAAATTTCGAGGAGTGGACATTCTCCTGACCTCACAGTGGCCTCGAGGCGTATGGCAGTATGGAAACAGTCCCGTCAGTGCTTTGTTATGCTCCTTTAATTCAGTTTTGCAATTATTTCCTGAATGTGTGCTCAAGGGTCATTTACTTTCTTGCCCTTTTGTAGGAAACTGATACAAAGTTTTGTGGGGTTTCGTCCATCGCAGATCTCGCTGACAAGCTGAAGCCCCGCTACCATTTTGCGGGACTGGAAGCGGTCCATTACGAGAGGCTGCCTTACAGGTGTGGTATTACAGCATCAGGATATGCTTTGTTTTTCAGAAGATATTTGTCTTTAAAAAATCTGTATGAATTTGCAGGAATCATGTGGTCCTTCAAGAGAATGCTCAGCATGTCAGTAGATTCATCGCCCTGGCATCAGTCAACAATCCTGCCAAGAAGAAGGTGGGGTTTTTTTTTTTGGGCTAAAGTTTTACAAATTTTGTTATTGTGTTGTAATTTTGTGCTTCTGTCATTTTTATTAGTTTTGGTTGTATTAAATGTCTTTTTAATTTTAGAAGTTATTTTCTCTTAGTTGATATATTTTATTTCAGGTCTATTTCAAATAACAGAAACAATTTTTAAAAGTTTTAGTTAACAATAACAGCATTGATTGAAGTTCATATTTAAAAGCAATACTTCCTTAACACCAAGTATAATTTTTAGGAAATCTCAAAATTAACATCTGTATTTCATACTGCATATTTTAATATTATGAATTCACTTGTAGCATTGATTTTAGTTTTTAGTGTTTCATTTTTGCATCCCTGCATAATGCTTAATAGACCTGTGGCAAATAGAGACTGAATTTTAATTGTACAGTTGATCTTCTCTCGTAGTATTTGTATGCATTCAACATTGTCCCGATGAAAAACATGGACCCCGCAGAGTTAGTCAAGCAGCCTCAGGATGTCACAGAAAATCCCTACAGGAAACCTGTGAAAGATGGGAAGAAAGAAAAACCGCCACCCTCTATGACAGGCGCGGAGGTTTGTGTGTACAGTTTTTACTTACTAATAGAGTTAGTATGCAGGTGTAGTTTGGGGTGGGTGAGTTGTTTAAAAATGTTTTTGAAAGAAATCTTGTTCATCAAGTCTGTATTTATTTGATTAAAAAAATAGCAATTTTGTTAAAAATTAATAGAATTTAAAAGAACTGTTTTCTACTAGAATATATTTTAAAATGTAATTTATTCCTGTGATGCCATAGTTGCATTTTCAGCAGCTATTACTTCAGTCTTCAGTGTCACATGATCTTT